GGCTTTGCTGTCTCCTCGCCCTGGTCCCTTGGTCATGGCTGGAGCACGCCGGCTCACTGCTGTTTTCCCATTTCAGGATTCATGCTGAGTTCCAGTTGAATGAGCCTCCAGATTTCCCTTTCTGGTTCTCCCCTGGCCAGTTCACAGGACACGTCATCCTCTCCAAAGATTCTTCCCATGTTCGAGAGTTCAAGCTCTTTGTCCCAAACAACAGGTACAGCCATTCTTGTTCCTTCTTTATACACTGAGGAGAGACCTGAGATCTGTTACAGCGGGGACCGGGAGCGAGAGCCGAGGGGATCTGTGATTTCCCCCTGCCCCATGCTGTGTGCACGTGTCACAACTAGGGAGTGTTACCTGGCATTTACGGTGATCTCTTGCCTGAAGGTATCCGAGTACATTGATTGCTCAAACCAACCCCTCCGTTCCCAACTTGTGCACAGGGGAGATAAGTGACTCCCCAGACCTGCAGATGAACATGTCAGAAGGAGGTTGAACTCGGGAGACCAAGTTCACTGCACCAAGCTTTGATCCTAGGGAATGCTATCCTACCTGCACACAATGCATCCTTTACCACTTGACTAATTTTGGACATTCAAAAGATAGATTTACTTTTTGAGCTCTAAACATAGTAAGGGAGAACTCCTTTGAGATCGGAGGGTACACTCCGGACCCACGGATTCTGATGGTCACCAGCTTGGACTGACTTCTTTCCCCACCCGTATCAAGTCAGCACCAGGGAGGCTGCATCTGGAGTCCTGTGTCCAGTTTTGGGCCGCCCCACTACAGAAAGGATGTGGACACATTGGAGAGAGTCCAGCGGAGGGCTACAAAAATGGTTCAGGGCTGGGGCACACGACTTGTGAGGAGAGATTGAGGGAACTGGGCTGATTTAGTCTGGAGAAGAGAAGACCGAGGGGAATTTGATAGCAGCCTTCACCTCCCTGAAATGGGGTTCAAAAGAGGATGGAGCTGGACTGTCCTCAGTGAGGGCAGATGACAGAACAAGGAGCAATGGGCTCACGTTGCAGCAAGGGAAGTTGAAGTTAGAGATTAGGAAGAACTTGGGTAGTAAAGCACTGGAACAAGCTACCCAGAGGGGCTGTGAAATCTCCATCCTTGAAGGTTTTTTAGACCTGGCTAGACAAGCCTTGGCTGGGATGATCTAGTCGGGGATGGCCCTACTCTGAGCAGGGGTTGGACTAGATGTGACCTCCTGAAGTCCCTTCCAACCTTCATTTTCTGTGATTCTGTCACTTTATCTCCTGTGCCTGTTTTTTTTCTTTTGCTTTTTGTTTTTTTAAAAGCCCACAAACCACACCACACAACTTGCTTTACCTGTGTGCGAGGCTTAATTACTGTTTGTAAAGCGTTCAAAGAACTCCAGATAAAAAAGCGTCGGATGCACGTTGGCCTCTTTAATTGTGCTGTTGCAAACCTGCATTCACAGCGAATGTCTGGCCAGCTCCTCTTGAATGAGTTCCAGAGAAGCTCAGCCTGCAATTAGAGATCAGGTGGCAGCTATAACTTGCAGATGCAGAAGGCAGCAGGACCATTGCCAGGTCCAGAAGAGCCATCAGATGTTCGTGTTGTATTGGACACCTCCTGATGTTTCGCATTTTGTGATAAGCCCTTTGAAAATCCGAATGAAACCAGCTCCGCTGTTATCCATAAAACTGAGGAACGCATTACTGCAGTAGCAACATGTTTTTAACAGAGCCATGGAGAACGCTCCGCCAGCCAGAGCCTTGAATAGACTGAACACATATGCTTGCATTTACCATGGCGAGCTGGCTCTGTTGCAGCTTAGAAGGTGGCAGGAAAGGGGGGTTTCTCCACCTGTGTCTTGGCACCTTGGGGTTCAGAGGAGCCTGACTCATCTGCTTTGAAATGCAAAGCAAACAAGATTTCCAAGGCTAGTGTTCGGCGTGTGTAGATTTACGCTCTCTGGGAAGCAGCTGGCAGCGTTACAAGGGATAAAAAGCTAAATTCTCACTCAAACCGTCGTGGGCCAAGACCGTTCTGCTGGAATGTTCCCCGGGCGACTTGCGGCTCTGCCTGCACATTTGTTCCAGGAGTTTTTAGCTAGTACAAAAAAGTAACGTGCAGCGGGGATGGGATTTGCAGAGTCTCGGGGATCGGGAAGGACGCTTCCCTCCCCCGTCCAAAAACTCCACGCACCCTTAACTGCTCGCGTGAGTCCCGCTGCTCTTCTGGGCAATCCTTCAACGAGGTCCATTATTTATAGAGCTCTGTGGAAGCCTGGCAGCTCACTTCCATGGCGCTCCACATAGTATTGGCTCTTGGGATCTGGGCCGCGGGCTTGGATCCAGCCGAGGGACGGTGGCTGTTCCTCAGGTTCTCGTATCTTAAACGACTCCTGTGATTGAGAGCTTTCCATGCACGTGGTTCTTAGACACGGCTGATTGTGAATGTGCTGGTCTCTTCTTCCAGGTCCCTAAACGTTGACATGGAATGGCTGTACGGGGCGAGTGAAAGCAGCAACATGGAGGTGGACATTGGTTACCTCCCGCAGGTTGGTAGCAGTGTACATTGCTGTACGTGCACACTTGTGACTCACCAGAATATATCCCACGGCAGCCCCGTAGCACTCGCTTCTGCCGTTGCTGCCAGGGCTGCTAGCACTCCCCTTGAGTGCTTGGACGTGAGCCTAATGTTCCCAGCACGCCCGCAGAGACGCTGCCCATGGCTGCCAACTCTCCTAACTCGTATTGTGATATGTGGTACTTTTGTCTCAGAGTCAGAGCTCCAGGAGTCACGTGATTTATGTAAGATCTTGGCTTTCATTAAAAATTAAAGTTAATTTCTGGCTTGGGTGGCTTTGGAATAATTTGGGAGCCTGCGTGCTGAAGACTTACAGCCCTGAGGGGAAATAAAAAAAAGTACATCATGCGTTTGGCTTTTAGACATCCCCAGTTCTTTTCAAATGATATCTCGTAACTCAGGGACAAGGGGCCTACCGCATGATGTTTTTCCTTAATGTCTCAGAATTGGCAATACCGTTTCTCTTAGATCTTCTTTAATAACTAAAAATAAGGCTCATGACAGATCCCCCAAATCACTTAGGATAGACCACTCACTATAAACACAGCCTGGCCGCTGCTCTCCATAGAGAAGCTCGGTAACAGCCTTCCTTTTTGCAGCTGCCCATAAACCTGCTTCACTGCCAGGGTGGATAGAGAAACTTCTGTATGGTATTGCAAGTGTGACAAGTCCCAGAGAAGAGCTTGGGCATCTGGTGTCCTCAAGTGGAAAATCTCCATGCTAAATCTTTGTAGGGGTAGCGTCTCCGCTTTTCCAATCCAAACCAGCGCAAAGCTGTGAGCGGTACAGAAATGTGGCGTTGGGGGAAATGTTTCAAACACGTGCATGTCAATGAATTAAGTAGGGCTTGAGGGAACGCTGAGCGGTGGTGTGCGTGTTCTTTGCAAACAGATACCCTTGTGCATGTGCGTGCACATGTGTGTGTCTGGGAATGGGTTTGAAGGTGGTGGGGCAAAGGGAACTTGGGGATGGTGCCTCTTCTAGGGACTGAGCTCTGTGCTCCTGTTGTAGATGGAGTTAGAATCGATGGGGCCATCCACCCCTTCTGTGATTCACGATGAAAATGGAAATGTGATTGACAGCAGAGACCCCACGGGGGAGCCCATCCAGTTTGTGTTTGAAGAGATAACCTGGCAGCAGAAAATCACTTGGGAGGAAGCGGCTCAGAAGCTGGAAGTTGCCATGTATCCGTTTAAGAAAGTAAGCAAAGCGCCTGCCCTGTTTCTTCTCCCGGGTGTGGTTCAGAGAGAAAAAGAGAACTGTACTGAGATGCTCTAGTCATCCTGAGGCCCAGTAAAGGCTGTAGAGCCGTAGGTGGCTTAAGAGACAAATGCCGAGGGACCCCACACAGTGCTTCGACTCAGTACCTGCTGTCCGTGTGTTGTAGCACTTGCCTTGAGCTTGGCAAGGCTGGACGGCGTGCAGTGAGGTTAGTTAGTCTGCGGTGTCTCTGCTCTAGAGATGAGGAATCAGAAGCTCAGAGAGGTCGGTTGTCCAGGGTCGCAGGGAGGCGGGGATGGAGCTCGGATATCTCATGGCTCAGGCTCGTTTAAGTGCAAGCTCATCTCGCCTTGCTCTTATCAGTCACCACTGATGCTATTTTGTGAGAGGCCGGTAATGATGGTGCTTGATAAATGGCTTCCCTTCAGCCTCAGCTGAACCTTGCACGACTACCTTGGGATTGTGCTTTCCTTATTGGCAGGCACCACATGAGCTGCTCGTGGCTCAGCATCTCCAAATGAAAAGCATGTTTGTGACACTGGGTGACCCAAATGATTTAATAACCCAGCAGCCATGGGAGCAAGTTGCTCTTCTGCAGCTGAGCGAAAGGAAGCACAAGCCCAGCCCTGGAACGGGATCTCCTCTGGGATGAGTATTTCTGTGAGCTGCCAAGGCGCTAATAAAGTTTGGTTGCTTTGAGTGATTGGAGCCACCTCTGTGCAGCATCCCTCCAGGGCTACTTATTACCTGACAAAAGCATCTTTTCTAATAAACAGGATCAACTTTTCTGGGCCTGTGAGCAAGCTCAGCTGGACAAACCCCTACCTAGTGCACACGCGTGTAACAGCATATGT